AATCGTAATTTTAAGTTTTTTAACATGTATTATAATATTGTTTGATAACACGGAAAAAATCATCATCTTGCAATTGCAGCCTAATGTTCTTGTGTATTCTGCGCGATTTGCACCTATATATGCACTATTGCTACATGTCTCTTGCAACAATTTTTAGAGGAGTACAATTATTTACTTTTATAAATACTATTAGATGAGTATGTTTAACAGCATCAAAATATTTCATTTAATGGTATAATAGCAAGAACTGGTTTCCATCACAATACCACCATGCAGAATTTCGATCTCGAGTGTAAGCTAGGCCATAGTCAAAAATATTTTGCTTGCCTGCATAGACCCATATTTCTTCACTAGCCAACACTTGCCTCTGCTGCGACAATGCATATAATAATTCTCTGATTCTGTTGGCTTTTTTCTGACAATTTTATGGTGTGATCTTATTCAACGCGTGTCTATCATTGCTACGATTTTTGCGTCGAGTTATAATTCAACGATTTAATCAATTACATTTAATAAAAGTTCAGAATTACTAGTAATACACTTTAAATTTTCTGCACCATATTAGGTATTTTATCTTTACTGTACCATTTTTGGAATTTTTTCACGGCATGGTTAACCAGTTAATTTAAGGAACCACGTTTAAAAATTGCCCCCGATTAATACAGTAACTACAAATAGTGCAAAAAATCTGATTTTTGGTAAGAAAGAGTTTAGATTTTTTCAGCAATTTTTATGTAATTTATCATTCATATGCATGTCAAAAACCAATGAAGCAATAACTGCAACAAGCAGTTAGCTGTCAATATGAGTGTTGCAACCTGCGATTCTTCTACCTTCGTAATATATAAGATCATCTTGCATGACAGGTGGCACAAATAAGTCACTGCATGACGATTATTACTAAATGCATAGGGTTAATGTCCTCACCGTTTAATAAATAAATATATATTGAGATATTTAATATAACGACACGCATAAGAACACAAGGTTTGTGGGGTTATGGAAGTGTGGGACAACTGCTCTATATGCTGTATTTTTTACCTGCGAAGAGCTGGGTGCTGAGCGGTTCCCAGGGCATATACTCGCATTGAAAAGCTGGATCTTGGGGAAAGTCGATTAGGACATATACTGATTTGCAGCTGGGTCCTAATCTGCCCAAGACATATACTTTTGCGGATTTTGAGCTGGGTCCTGAGTCGGCTAGAACATATACTCCATTTAGAGCTGGGTCCTAGCCTGCCATGCAAGACATATACTCTGAGCTGGGCCCTGGGAAAAATGATCAGGGAAATATTTCTTAGAACACTGATCTGGCTCAGCACATATACTCATATGCAGAAATAGAGTGATTTTTGTAAATGGGAATTGGCTGTATGCCAGGTTGCCAAATTCCGTAAAAAAAACGTGAGGTCTATGGTAAAATTGCGACCTCATACTAGAGCAATTGCCTCAAACACTTCATTCTTTATTTATTATTTTATTAAATACATAATAACATTGATATAACAGTCTAGTGAATGTTGATAAGCGTTTAATATCCAACGAAGATAATATTTATATATAGATCTAAATATAGTTCAATGTTCCTGAGAATTCAATATCACTCCCTAGGCGGGCCCATAACATACCGTAATTACTTCCAAGTACCATCTTGTACCATCTCGTTACATCAGGGAAAAGGCTGGAGCATGGGGTGATTGGTGGGTGACTCTTTAAATCAGTTTTTACAGCTCGCAATCCAAGTAAGAGTGATATAGGCAGATAAAGCTAATTATGTCATTGTTATAGTTATGAATAGGTCAAACATAGTGGTTTGGACAATAATTAATAAACGATACTGGGTGCAGTAGCCTACGGGTTTGGCAAGCAAATCATGAAAGTCTGTGATAGAGTCTTCCTTTGTTTAGACAATAGTAGCTTTCGAGTTGGCTTAACATAGACATTTTAAATCTATAATTTTTTGGTCTAGCGCATTGAGTATCGTCCATTAACAATAATTTGTACTCGTAAAAATTACCATTTAAAGAAATTCTTCATTGTTGAAATCTGTTTGCTACTGGAAGTTGGTGTCCGGCTTGAAATAATCAACGAAAGTTAATTTTTATTCGACATGTCACCATAATTCAAGTTTGTCTGCATGTGTCTGATAACTTCCTCCTTCCTGGAAACTTCTGCATTATTCACTCACGCAATCCATATCAATTTGAGTTTATATAAAACAATAAACATTTAACAGTTATTATTATTATTATTTTTATTCAACAGTTATTACTTTAACACGATTCGTTTGAAAAACAAATGGATTACAGATGCAAAATTTAGTTTCATATATTATGTCACTGCACTCACTGCAGGGTATAGTCACTGCATGGTATACAATAAAAAATTAAATTGTATCGAGTGGGATTCGAAAATTCACATCTTTGGGTTTCTTTTGATATCGAATCCCACTCATGAAGTGTCAGAATGATATTAAACTAGTCAACTATATATTTGGGAATGGTTCAATGGCAGGATTTTCTAAATAAGGCCATGTCAACGGGAAAATCACTGTCAAAATAATAAAAATAATTAAACCATGATAACTTACTTGATCATCACTTAAAAATTGGACCAGAAATAAGGCTCGTATATACAAAGCTTCCATCACAGAATTTTTTCGGTCTCAGTTTCGGCAATTTGAATGGTGTTGTGATATTAATTTATTCAGTGGCAACTTACCCTAAGTATAGTTATTATTTATATACTGTCCGAACTGCAGGACAACAAATAACAGAATAGTGCAATAAATTATTAAAGTATTTATATTTTTAAAACAACACTTCGATAATAATTTCTTGTCTGTTGCGGATAGTCATAACTAAAACAAATGGAAATAACGTGTTTTCGAATTTCGCGATTGTAGCGATATAGAGTAAATAAATTGTAATTGTTTAGGTTATTTACATTTTCCCATTAATTTATTCCTCCTTCTTAGTAACGTTTAATTAATCGACAGGTTTGATAGTGTGCTTCAAACAAATTAAAAATGAGAATCTACTTTGTTAAGAAATTTGATTGACAGGTTCTCCTCTGTTTGTTATATTTTATACAATGAGAGCGAAGAACATCGTCTGTCTCCAACACATAAGTTATAGAACCATTTACAATGTAAGTACGATATAATACCAGATTTGATTGGCTAATGTGCATTTTAGTATTGCACTATGGTTTGTGGCATTGCCTTGGGTTTTTTCTCAGTTTTTCTTTCTTATTAGGTTTACACATCCGAAATTAATCAGAATACAAAACTAAAAATAAAGCCACCATTTTTACGTTTTTTTAACAAATCAAGAAAATGGAGGTAATACAGGAAAAGAATTCTGAAACGGTAGCAGATACATTTTGACAGCTTTGCCCTCGCGCATAAGAACACCATAAACGCAGTAGACTAATTTTCTTTCTCCTAATTTGGCTATCAGCCAACATATATGCCTGGAGACTTAATTGTAGCTAACCCAATTAACTAAACGTGATTTAACGTGTTATAGTTATGAAGCAGGCCATTGCTCATACATTTACCTGCTCAGCCTTGATCATGTTTCAAAATAGTTTAATTAGGTCTTGGTAGTATATATTTTTAATAGTTCTAACACATAGCGCAAGTCTTACTGTCGTTCCAATTGAAGTGTTGCTCAAATATTGATTCAATACATTACCTCGGGCTGACCAATTCATTTGATCAAGTTCCCCGAGATATTCATACACTTCCTGTGAAAGAGCCAATTCCAAGTATTTGATCATTTCTGGTCACTTCCTTTCTATTTATGATTGGTTAGTTGCACAAAACAACAAAGGTGATTGGTGCATATTCAACAGGAAGTTTACAATTATACTAGGAAGTGTATGAATATCTCAAGGAATTTGATCAAATGAATTGGTCAGCCCGAGGTAATGTATTGAATCAATATTTGAGGAACACTTCAATTGGAACGACAGTAATAATAGAATTTCACAATACTTACAGAACAGATCTTAAGAAGATGAACAGTTCCTTTATTCATTCTTTTCATTAGTTGTGGCAACATAATAATTGCAGCTGTATCTTCAATATCTAAAGCATAAAAAGTGAACTGATTAATATTTTAAACTTACAGAACTTGTTATCCTGAAAATGTAAAGTTCTTTATCATAAGAAAAAATCTTATACTGAGTCAGATTTTTGGACATATTACAGATCATTGTACAGTCACTCAAACATGTTGTTATCTCCTGAACAGTAGAATAATTTAAGGTGTAATACCAGATCTTTTACTTGTTTCCATGGAAATCAATTCTTGCATTTCTTCTAGAATTTTTCTTTCGCCCTTTTCCTTGGCAAGTGCCAACAACTTTGGTTTGACCACTGCTGTAAATGTTGCACTCATTTCTTTCAGAATCGTTTTATCCTCCATAACCCTGCCGAATTCTGATTTAAACTACAAAGTGAACAAAAAATAAAGAATGTTTTTAAAGCGACAGCACAATTGGCACTGGCCAATTGCAACATTCTCCTAGACAAGCAAAACATTGTTAGCCAAAGTAAAATAGAATTCTCACACACTGCTGGACACTACTGCAATAATCTAGTGCCTGAATCAATATCAGATAAAATCCGAATCTACACTTGAATAACTTACTTCTGAAATCAGATTTAGTGCAGGATACTCCTTTGTGATGTCCTCAACCGCGGTTGGTTCAGCAAGAATCTTCTCCCTCCTGAAAGGGTATGTAAGAACCATTAGCTTCTTTATCATGACAACATTCTTGTTTGTTGACTTTAACATCTCTTTCTTCATAACAGTGGCATGTTCACGGCATGTATCCATTGTCTCTCCTTCGGGTTTTGCTGGTACCCTTGCAAGGTC